ATGTTTTGGCAAAGAAGAGAAATATATTTTCCTTTTTTTCTTGAAATTTTAAAAGGCAACCAACGGCCCATTTAGCCTTAAGGACCAAAATCAATTATTTTCCACCATATACCCTTCGGCCCGTATTATTATTGTTTATTTCTTCCCACTTTAGATTGGGTTCATAATAAGATCGAACCCAAGTGAAACTGTTCTGAGATTGGGCTCATACGGGCTGCTTAAAGCAAGTCATGGAGCAAAGAAAATTAAAATGAGCGTATTGCACCAAAAGAAAGTCTCTAAATTACCTTATTTTGAAAAAAAAAAATTGCTATAAATAACTTTTCACTAATAAAAAGTTAATTTTGAAGAGAAATTTTTTTTGAAGAAAGGTTCATCTTTAGGTTAAAGAAGACTCTAACTCGTTTGACTGCTTCTTTAGAAAGCATTTCTGCTCATAAGCGTTTTTAGTAAAAATTCCCTTATTATAAAGATGTTGAAATTTTCATAAGAAATTCAAGTGCTTCATGTAGAAGCATATAGCAGGTGCTTCTTCAGAAAGTGCTTTTATGACTCATAAGTACTTCTAAACTTTTATGTCAAATAATGTTAGAAGCGCTTTTGGTTGTAAGAAAAAGTTTTTGGTAAAAAAACGCTTTTATCCTTTTCAAAAGCACTTCTAAACCGGCCAAGTACATGAGTTTTATGGTTAATAATATAAACGAAAATTAATTTCTTCATCAAAGGACATGAGTTTTTTTGTTAATATAAATGAAAACTAATTTCTCCAACGAAATACTGGCATATTCACAATCAGACTAGTACATACAATTGTCCCTACCCCTATCATGCCACATGAAATTGGTTTGACATGGCTAATATAAGGACAATGTATTTGACAAAGGACAATACATGATGTAACGTGGCGACTTCTTATTTTTCTAAAAAGAAAATTCATGAATCTGCCGCTGAATTCCTCAGCTATAACTAATGCTCCATCAAGATTCCCATACCTATAAGTCGTCTCTTATTCTATATATTCACACATTACAGTCGGCCCATATCATTTGTGGAATTGCAGAGTTCAGTCGACTTGAATTATCTACTCTTATACCAATCATAGCTGGGGAAGTTGATGAGCACAACATCAAGTTCAATGTACATATATTGAAAGTTGGAGCTCATATATATCCACCAAAATATCATATAACTATATAATATATAAGCCAAGTCATCTTCATCTTTAATTTCTGACGTGTGAGATGTTCAACAGGTTTTTTTTCATACAACTAAATTAGCTTATGTATATATATATATATATATTCTGGGAAAGAATTATGCACATGATCTTTTTCAGTCTCACTACTTGGACACTTAAGATCATGGAATGGAGTATGGGCATTTTATCGAAAAAATAAAAATCAAAGCATGGACATATGTTCCAGTCAACGTTTGCTTGTAGAACCAGCTTCTTTAGTCAACAAAAGAAAATTATAATTAGGTCCCAAAAAAATACGAGTGGAAATGAAGAGGAAACCACTACTAGATGGGCAATGGGTGCGCACTATATGGGCCTATAAAATCTTCGGAATGACTAAGAGTATCTTCAAAGAAGATGTCAAATGCAAAATGTTAAATTAGAATTAGGAAAAAATTTAATTCCACCCGAAATGCCAAATATCATATTATTTTATTATATTTTTAAAAGCAAATGGGACCCATATGATGCAAAAAGTTTTAAAAGAGAGTAAATGATAGTAGGGTCCATGACCAAAAAATATTAAAATAATATTTTGGCATCCAGCTTATTTTTTTGGACAAAGCATACAGCTTTTTGATATGTTATTTTTGACATACACAATTATAATGTCATGAGAATTCGAACATGAGACCTTTGATATGCAAGTCAAGGCCCTAGCCATGAAGGAGAGTGGCCTACCCAAACAACTCAATTTTGCTCCTTTAACCCGAACTGAGCCAAGTAGTGTGTCACTCTATTACCTTATTTGGGTTGGAAGATCACATATCCCCCTCATTCAGCTGCATCACCAACTTCTTAATATCTACCACCAGATCGATTGCCCAGATTGCTCCAGTATCACCATCTCCATTAAAAAGTGTATGGGAAGTTACATATAGGCTCCTTGTATCATAACTTAATAAATTACAACAAACATTCATGCTTCATGCTACATCAACCGAATATATATACTATAATATACTATACACATCATCAATTGTTTTATTATTTACGTACAATTATATGGTGCGGTGCAGCAAAAAATATCATATGATATTGATACTATCATATAATTGGATCGTTTTGTGAATTGTGCAGACTGCATGCAGGCTTTTGAAAACACATGCATGTGTAGATTGTACACTAAAATATTGTTTACGCAGAGTGCCAAATCAGAAAGAACAAAAAAATGGAGGAGGAAGAAGAAGAAGAAGGAATCTATGATTATGATTATGCATATTAAAGGCCACATGGAAATTGCAGTGTGACAGAATTGGTGACATATTATTTTAGAATTTACACATCCAAATAAACACGCACAAGAGAGAGATCTGACATCTGCTATGGGTCCAAATCAGCTTCACTTTACTAATTTACTACTTTCATTTTCATGAGATAGAAGTCTAGAATCAAATGTACTCATATGCAAGGTAAAAGTTAGCTTTTAGGAGAAAATCTAATTGCTGCTCTCTCAGGAAAAATCCCTAGCCGCCGACCTCATCTTCCTACTCCATCCGCTTTCCTCTTCTTCTCTTTCTTTTCCCTCTGAATTCTTTGTTTTTTGTTTTGTGATGTAAAAGCAGTCGTCATAAAACATTGTGATCATCGTCATAATATGATTGTCGTCTTTTGAGTCTAATATCATATTAGAATTTACACATCCAAATAAACAGGCACAACAGAGATATCTGCCATTCTTCATTTGCTAGAGCCTTGCCTCTTGGGTCCAAATCAGCAATGTACTCATATTCAAGGTTGAAAGTTCGACTTCAAACTTAAAAATTATGACTTTTTCATGGGGTGCTTTCAATTTACAAGATGAATTAGATAAGAACATAATTACACTTTTAAGTGGACTTTTATTGGGTTGCTTTGAATTTACTATTTCAACGAGATAAGAGTAAAAAATTTACTATCGCATTTACTACGTTGACCTTTTGACCCATATATAAGAATTCATCCATGTGAGTGGTTCCCACAATTGTAAAAGATGTAAGGCAGTCCTGGACTTGGAATTAAACAAGTTAACAATTCTGGACTTGGAATTATACAGTGATAATTTGATTCTTCATTACCCGACCAAGCTTAATTATACCCTTTATTTCAAGGTACAGGGACCAGTAGGACAATTAATTAGCCGGTTGAATTACTGTAAAGCCGGGCTTTCACTCTCTAAATTCACTATCATTTTACTTGTTGATTGATGATATATAAATGATAGGTCCTACCTTAATTGACAGGCCTTGTTAAGTTAAGCGGTCCACAAGCGGCTATATAGTGAGAAATTACACCACAACTAATTAGGTATCAAACTCATCACAAATATATGTTATCATCGTCATTTATATGAGTTGAATCTAAGACCTCTGTCAACTAAGTAGAGACAAACACCATTATACCAACAACTAGTTAGCGATGTTAATCGATTGAGTGCTTACTCTCAAATGACAAGGAATTTGATTAATTTTTTTGATAATCTCTTTACCAAGGATAAGATCATAATAAGATGATAAGCAATATATATACACACACATATAATAGAGATATCGCAAGTGATTTCCATGAATGGGGGGCATGGTTGACTTTGACTTTGACTTTGATCACTACCTCGCTATCCATGCAGAGCAGCCGACATGCATCATGCACGACAAAACAAGTCTCATCCATCACCGCATATGTCACCCTTTTGAATTTTTGGCTTCTCAACTAATTAAGCTCATGTAGTATAAAACAAATTCATCAGATATTGTAATCAACCCCTTTATCACTAAAAAGTCATTAAAAAAATATTATTAATAATATTAATTAACAAAAATAAGAGCATCTCCAATAATAGTAACAAACTAAGAACATCTACAATGGGCTTCCTAAATCACCTCCTTAGACAAATTTTAGGGAGGCATTGTAAAAATGCAACTTCAACCATGCTCCCTATCCACCTCATAAAATAGGGAGTCCTCTAGGAGCTCCTAAATCTGATGAGAGAGAAATGACTCCTAGTGGCTCCCTATAATTTAATGCTACCTTATTTAATGAGTATTTCAAACCTTTATTTAATGCTAACTATTTTTTATTTTATTTTTTAATAGAAATGGACCAATCAAAAAAGAGTTATAGCATTTATGACTCTCCAAATTAGGGAGTATGGTTGGAGTTGAAATTTTTTAGAGAGCTCATAAAATAGCTTTCTTATATTTTTAGCTAAATTTTAGCTAAGAAATATAGAGCATCATTGCGGATGCTCTAAACTCTTTAAATTGAAGTTTGTTGGCCTACGTGGCAATTTGAGAAACTTTGTTTGCTACTTTAATATTTTGTGCCCCAGCAAACTCTTTAATTCAATTAATGCAATGTTATAGAAAAGAATGAAAAATATGAAAACATGTGAAAAATGTCGATGTATTTATTGTTTGAAAAGAAAAAAATGCATGTTTTTAACATTTTCAAGGTAGGTTTTATTTTTTCAAAGTAAAATTAAATGTTTTGAAGAGCTAACATCAACTTACCAGTCCTAAAGAAAGAGAAAGATGTTGCAGTTTTGATGATTGAGTAGAGGGTTTTGATGAGACTGTTGGAGATAATCTGTTAGTTAGTGAAAAAAAGGTACTTTAATTTGATGACAGAGAGTTAAAAACTTTAGTTGGAAGAAATTACTAAAGGGGGGGTGTTTGGTTTTTTATTCTTTACTTTTGAGTAGAAGTAGAGTCAGCTGAAAGCACATTATTCATGGGTCATGACATGTTGGGTTTAAGAGCACATTAAAGAGCAAAATTAAGAGGCGGGGTTTTCCTCAGTTGAGCCACATTCAATGCCACGCGGTTTTGCGAGGCAGAGAGAGAGAGAGAGAGAGAGAGAGAGAGTATTGGCACTACAGCTGACTTTGGCATGCCTTGCCAGCCCTTGGAGGAGGGGAGTAAATGCTCTTGCTGTCACCTTTTGACTCTTTGGCTACCCTTCTGTTGATCTTTTAGGTCAGCGTCCTCTCCCCCCTGCCTATGCTTGCTTGCTAGCCCTCTCTCTTTATCTTTTTGTCTATTTATGCAGACCAAAGGTTAGCATTTTTCCAACTTCCTTGAAAGAAAGAAAGAAAAACATAGTTCAAGAATTCTAGCTAGGAAGACCTCTTTGTTTTGTTTGGTTTTGTTTGTTTGTTTGTTTGTTTGTTGAGCACAACAAGATACTTGGGAGACTTGTGGTGGTGAGTGAGTGTTGTTAGAGAAATAAAGAAAGAAAAACACGGTGAAATGGGCAGGCCTCCTTGCTGTGATAAAGAAGGGGTCAAGAAAGGACCTTGGACTCCTGAAGAAGATATCATTTTGGTCTCTTACATTCAAGAACATGGTCCTGGAAATTGGAGGGCTGTTCCTACCAATACAGGTTTATTTTCTTTCTTTTCTGTTTCTTCTGTTGCTTTTGTTTGAGTAAAAATTTAATTGGTTTTCACTTGATGGGTCAGTTTTGTTATGGCTTCTGTATAATTTTGAGATGAAAAGGCAGGATATTTTCATTTTGGCGTTGCATTTAGATTATTAAAAGCACAGCGATTTTGGTATTTTGTTAGTGAAGCATTAGGGTGCGGTGATCTACTATTTGAGCCTTCAACTAATACATCTTTGTTCTGTTTTGGTGTTCCAGGGCTGCATAGATGCAGTAAAAGTTGCAGGCTGAGATGGACTAATTACCTTAGGCCTGGGATCAAACGTGGTAACTTTACTGACCATGAAGAGAAGATGATCATCCACCTTCAAGCTCTTTTGGGCAATAGGTAAACCCAACAAACACCCCTTTTGCTAAGAAAAGTCTCATATATTTTTAGTGTAATGTGTAATAGATATTGAAGTTATAGGATCTGAAAAATGCCAAAAAATTTGTTTTGGGAGGCCTGCCTGCAGGGTAGGTTTGGTTTCTGTAAATCTAATTTATGGCTTCATTGATTGTGATGCAGATGGGCTGCAATAGCTTCATACCTCCCACAGAGAACTGACAATGACATTAAAAACTACTGGAACACCCACTTGAAGAAGAAGCTAAACAAGCTTCAAGCAGGCACTGAAGGCCACTCTAAAGATCAAGGATCAAGCACCAGCTCACAGGCAATATCCAGAGGTCAATGGGAGAGAAGGCTTCAAACTGACATTCACATGGCCAGACAAGCTCTTCGTGATGCCCTGTCCCCTGAAAAGCCAAGCACTTTGAGCTCTGACTTGAAACCAGCTGATGGGTTCCTTATCTCCACCACAAAACCAGCCGAAGATCAATCAACAACCACTTATGCTTCAAGCACCGAGAACATTTCAAGATTGCTCAAAGGTTGGATGAAAAACCCACCAAAATCACCATCAGCCAGAACCAACTTGGCTAAGACTCAGCATTCATTTACCAACATGGTTTCAGGGTTTGACTGTACATCCAGTGAGGGGGCCACATCTGCAGCAAACACAACCAGTGGGGTTGAATTATCTGATGCATTTGAATCTCTGTTTGGTTTTGAGTCTCTTGACTCTTCAAATTCAGATTTATCTCCATCTATGTCACCAGAGGCTAGCCTGTTCCAAGATGAAAGCAAGCCGAACCTTATTAGTGACCAGTTTCTGTCATTGATTGATAAGTGGATATTTGATGAAGATGCTGCTGCTATTCAAGGGAAAGATATGATGACACTAGACCATGAAAATGCTAACTTTTTCTGAGGACTTGCTTGTTTTTGGTCATATTGTCTTATCTACTATTAATCTTTTGCTTACTTTAATTTGGTTTTAGGGTATTGGACTGATTAATTCCACGGTGCCTTAACTAGCAGAGGGTTACATTGTTACAACCCCTCAATGCTAGAACAGGAAATGTAAAAATTTTACCTTACTATCTCAAATGTCTTTGCGGGGCAATGATTAAATTTCTCATTTGCATAATGCTTAGGTTTTGTTCTATATGGCCTTGAAATGTTGTGAGGAAATCATTTGGTAATTGGCATTATAGGATATGATAATATATAAATAGTTCTTTTGTTGTGAAGCTAATTTCATTTCTAGCTGAGGCTCATAATAATTTTAGTTGCTTCACCTAATTTGTCATTGAATTGATAACAACACTAAAGTGAGAAGAACTTGCATGCTACAGGGATAGCATTGTTTTGTTATCCTCGTCCAATTACATTCCGCACAAAAGATATACAAGTTTTTCTCGAATGGGAGGCCTCCCTTGTACTAACTGTGCACATATGGCCTTCACTTATTGGTTGTAATGAAAAACGATATGAGAAAACTTTATGCATGCCAAATGGAAACCAAGTCAACCCATGCAGATAGCATAATTGAATGTTAACACAGAAGTAAAGTCAACAGTACTGCAGCTTGCTTAATGAAAAGTTAATTGAAGTTGGTGGAAGCATTCATGAGGGTGTTTATGTCTGGGTAGCCACAACCCTGTGGAAATTTGAAAGCAAACAGTCATATAATTTCTTCTGCTACTAGCTAGCTAGTCTCTCTATTGCGGTCCAAAAGCGACCGTTAAGAAGAAGAAACTTGAATTAGTCCTAATTAAGTTAAAGCTAAGATCGATCACAAGAAAATTCCCTCACCTCTTGAAATCATGTAGCAATCATATAAACAAAGAAATTGATAGGGCAGAATTTCAGTAGTGATAAACTAAATGGGCAGATGAAATTTGCCTTGGAAATGTGGAAATTGGCCTTAAAATGAACATGTGAAGCGTTTGATGGCCAACAGAAGAAAAAATAAATAAAACATGTGAAGGGTTTTGATGTTCATGACTACTTGTCTTTACAAGTTGTTGTTGGAGTTTAATCCTGGCCAAGCAAAAGTAAAACCAGACTGTAAAGGCATGGCAATTGGTCATGGCAAATGGGATCAAAGATGGTAAGAAGCATAGGCCCCCAATCAACACCGTCTGAAATACGTACACCATACGTATATATCCTGCTGTCCTAGTTGGATAGTGAAAGGTTCAATTATTAATTTAGTTTATATCAGATATGCCATGTAATGAACGTGATAGCCTACCAAAGAGAACATGAAAGTCAAGGATGAAAACGTCCGCTTAGACATCATTCATAATTTAGTGCAATGGAAAAATATGACGACATTGAAATGATGGATATGAAGCTAACTAGTCTAGTGAGGGAAGACCAAATCTTCAAGCGAAACAAAAAGAACAGCCAAATTTGCAGCCAAAAAAAATAATCTACTTGTGACATTGTACCCCCGAGCTCAAATATTTTAAGGAACTGCATGTGGTAATGGTACATAGCTTAGCTAGCAGTTTTAATTTGTTCTTTCTAAGAGAGAGAGAGAGAGAGAGAGAGAGAGAGAGAGAGAGTTTTATGCAAGTCTTAGCAAGCATGACAAATTAAACCTGTTACATGACAGAAACATGTGCTCCTCATCAGACTGTATGACTTTCCAAACCTACCTTGTATTAACTGTTGCATATGCGCAAGCATGTGTTGCTGTTGCTGTGTGTGTTTTCTGTACATGCATATGTTTTCTGTACCTTGTATTATCAATACATACACCAGTAAACAAGTTGATTTGAGGCATGAGGTGAGATTGTGCTAGCTATAGTTTCAATTTTGAAAAGGGAAATGATAAGGTAAAAATAACATCTGCAAAATTTAATGATTGCATCAAAAAGTCCAAAACGGCAGTTCCTTCCTTGTGATGTGCTGTGAACTGTTGTGTGTGGAAAAATCATCACCGGCTATATATGAGATGACTTCCATTGAGATTGAGATTGAGTTGCCATGACATTAATAAAAATTTAAAAGTAAATGGCACGAATACTTATGTGCTGTTTGTGTCAACTCCCACAATCTTTATTTTGCCTGCGACTTTTGGTCGACGAGAAAAAAATGAACCAGTGCAGCCGATTATTCTAGAAGAGTGGTTGAAATTTGAAATTAAAAAAAAAAACAAAAGAGGGAGAGAAAATAGAGATGTTGCATTGCAGAGAGACTGCCCAGAAGTCAGATCACAGGAGGCCTTTTGCTGTCTCTTTAAATGCTACCACATGAGAGTGTCATAAGTTTTTGTACTTCAAATGGGACATTCACATGCTCAAGAATATATTGCACTAGTTGTTGTGTACATGGAAAATGCTGGCCCTCAAGGAAGGGAAAAGTCTCAAAGACATCGTTTTCACTCAGGCATATATTAAACTGTTCTCTGTCAAATTTCAGAATAATTGGTGACTATAATTTTTGTAACATGAACTGTTCTCTCTCCAGTGTAAAATGGCAATGTGTTCTGCTGGGTACGAGGGGAGTGAGACAAGAGGAAAAGCATGATTTGACAATTCACACAGAGTAATGATGAAATCTCTTCTCCCTGAAGTGTCACAACAAATGCAACAGGTTTTGTAGCACACAAATGAAAATCAAGGCAAGTACTAGCATTCAATTAGGTGCGTGGCGCGTTTGAGCCATTTTGATCTAAATGGCTCGTATCATCACGCACCGAACCGTGACAGCACTCCTAATTAAAAGTGATAATTAAACATATCAAATTTCACTTCACACAAACCAAATCACAAACACCTAGAAGAAAAAAAGAAGAGGGAGATGGTAGATGAGGGATTGGGAGAGAGAATAACACAACACAATTTCCATCCGGAAACATCAACTTAACCTCGCTTTCATATATTCATCGTGACAAAGCTGGCATGAAAAGAAAGTAAAGTACCTATAAGTTGTCACTCAACCTTTGGTTAGCTATGTTTTCTATGTTCACGTGCCTATTTTGTTCAAATAACAATTTTTAAATTTTCCGACAAAAAATAGAAAGATTTTGGTGGTCCTAAGACAATTAAAGATTCGTGATCTTGCTTTACTAAAAAAAATATGAGTCTTCCCTTTTCAACAACACGACTTAGATAATTACACCACCCAATCTAACTTGAATGATTAAGCTCCATCAGCACATTGCATGCCTCCATATATATAGCTAGTAGGATGCATATTCTCATCTTAATTTTCTTTTTTCGGTTGAATATTTTCTTTAATTGAATCCTCGATCTAAAGAATCAAAGAAAAGAAGGAAATGATAGAGATATTGGTTAAGTTCCTTGATTTTTCTCCGTCGTTTATTGCGATTTTTATAGTAGTGAATTCCCATTTGGTTTTAAAAAAAATGCAGAGGAAAAGAAAAGGAACTTAAACAACTAAAAAGACTTAAATAAATCACCTGGTTTATGCTAGAATTCTACGTATTTGTGGTCCAAGCTCACAAGGCACCTTCCTCTTTTCAAAGCGAAATTTCTTTGGCATGGGAGGAGGTGAATTGACAAGTGCTAGCTTAATAACTAGATTCATAAGGCATAATTTAGTTGCCGAGAGAGAAAAAACTTTAGGTCAAGTTGCATCAATCAAAATTCAAAACCAAGTTTTTTTGGTCCAAGTTTACAAATTTCCATTTTAGTTTGTATTATTGATCAAGTTGGATTAGAGAGTCGTGGTCACCTTTTTAAGTGAGTGGCAGTACAATGGTGAAAAAAGGAAATGTGTGATTAGGAAGCCTAAGCTGCTTTATCCTATAAGGACCCAAAAGGCACAACCACTACAGGCCTTTTACTATGGCCCTATGGGCATCATAAATTTGGGTTGGGTTGGTGAGAGGCAAGAAAAGCTTCTTCTTTCGTTTTCATCTCAAAGCACAATCATATTTAACAAGTCTCCATCAACCCACAAATTTATCCTTACCAAGCCTCTCTCTCTCTCTCTCTCTCTCTCTCTCTCCTTATATCGCATTTCTTGTACTTGGACCATATCAACTGCCAAAGGGAGAGGAGACAAGTTAAAGCAAGAAGAGTATTATATCGCGATATTGCAAGACATTATTCTCTTTCAATTGGGTCATTAAGAGTCAAACTCTGGATCCCAGTTGTTGCAAAATCTTTGAGACAACGGTTAGGGGCAATGCAGCACTTTAGGTAATATTCTCTTAACAAAGAGTCTCCCACATGTTATATACAAAGTATATGTATCAAATCGTGAATTTAAACTACATATTCAAAAGGATTCACCTTATCATCAATGTCATTGTTGCCATACTGCAAAAGTTTTGGCATTTTTCCTTTTTAGGAAGTATAATTAACTAGTACCTATTTCACGTTAAAAATTTAAGTTATCTTATATGACAATGAAAAAATGTATATATCTCAGGATTTTTAAAATCAATGAGGAGGGAAATTTGAACATGAGAAAACATTAATTTCACAGTTTTTATTGTTCACTTTTGTACGGGTGAACTTGGTTCGTTCAATTCCTCTTCCAACATTAAAATAAAAATAGCACTAGACTAATAGCTGGTTGATACTGCATTTCGCGTAAACCAACTTCAGCTAAGTTGTTTAGTAAATTTACACGTACCCACATTACTTCTCAACATGGTTTCAATGGTTAAACTTTCGCTAATATCTTCAAGGACATGGGTATTGGAGATGTTCGGTAGACTTGATATTTAGTTGAATTCTGGCACAAAAGAGAAAAGAAAGTAAAGCTGCATGCAGTTGTGTATTGAACCATCAGCCACCACGTAATAAACAAAAATGGCAAAAAGTTGGCATAGTCTTCCATCGATATCAGATACCAGCATTACCTAACCACATGTCCATCCCTGTTAACATGTAGGGGTTTAACCAAATTCGACTCACACTTGTGCATGTACAATTGGCACAAAATAAAAGAAAAGCACATAAAAAAAAATCATATGAAGTGATATCGATGTAGGTATTTTAAGTGTTATTAGTTTATAATTACGCAGGGCAAAATTATATCATATATCCTACAGATAAGTATGATTGAAATCATCATTTGTTTTTGTAATTAATCAAAGTCAACAAATATTCATGTCTGCACTTTTTGTGTGTGTTGTGTAACTTTGTGACTGGATATCTC